TCTAGATTCTTTTGCATATTTTCTTGGAATTATATTGGTCTATGAGAGCACCTTAGTTTTCACTAAGCGATAAAATACAGTTTCTATTTCCGTAATACAGGTCATTAGTGATCACTTGGGATGGGTGTGATTTGTAGCATTTGATCCAGGGAACAGATGGTTTTGTCTTGGTTCCGCTGATAGGGCAATAACGGTAAACCCCACAACCTACATTCCTTTCTTAGAAATATAAGTTGAATTCATGTATACATGCAAGTAGTTGATACAACAACCTATTAGTTACTCAGAGGCTTTCTGTATTGGTGTCTGCATTTTTTAATGTTACATGCATCTATTTTTATTACATAATGTTTTTTCAGCTTTGGGACTCCATGTTGATGCGTTTTTACCTTAACATCTTATTATCTATTTTTCTTTAGGCAAGGAAGAAGGTTGTAGAGTGCGGATGGATGTGAAAAGGAAGAGGATGGATGCGAGAAGAGAGAAGAGGGGTGAAAGAGGATATGGCTAGAAAGAGGGAGAAGGACAGGGTGGAGGCGCTTCTTGAGGATTTTTGTCTGACTGATTTCATACTCTCTTATAAATCATGGTTAGCTAGGTAAACCTTTTGTACAACAGCTCTTGTTCAAAAGGAAGTTTGATCTTTCGGCTTCTTATTTTAGGTCAATATCAAGTACAGTTTAGTTAATTTATATTGATGTTTATGTTTGAAAATGACTATTACCATTCTGGTTGAATGGGGGCATGGATAGAAGAGATTGTGAGTCGGGTATGGTGATGCCAACATTGTATTGGTGGCAGATAGATTTAAGTAAGGTCACTATTAAATCACCAGAATAAGTCTGCCCCCGTTGCAATGCACGGGCAATGGGAGAAATGTGATGTCCATGTAAGTGCTTAAAGGTAACAAGTTAGACATGATTAATATTGTGCATGAGCTATTCGTAATTCAATTCAATTTTGAATCTGTGCAAGTTGATTTCTGGGAGAACACAAGTGCAACATAAGGCCAAAGTCGTTGATGGCACTGCGAGGCCCAGCTAGGACCTCGTCGGAGACAAGGACGACACTTCAAGCGGCAGCGAGGATTGGTGTCACAGTCGGAGGCAAGGAAGAAGGTTTGTAAGGGTGTGCTGGTTCATCGGAAAAGTCTGGTCGCTAGGCTTGTTCAGAGGGATGGTCGGGGGTGGCGGCCGCGGCTAGCGGATCGGCGGGTGGTGGTTGGCTGTTAAGGAGGAAGAAGTTGGAGGTAGAAGACAAACAACAACCATTCGATGAAGATCCAACGTTGCTCGAGGAGTGTCGTCATAGTCGAAGGCGGGAAGAGGGTTGACAGGTGTAGGTGGGGGTGTGATGGCTCGCCGAAAAAATCTGGTCGCCGGAGTGGTCCAGAGGGATGGTCGAGGGTGGCGAGAGGGGTGGGCAAGGAAGCAAGGCGGTCGGGGGTGGCGGCGACGGGTGGATCGGCCGGTGGTAGTTGGCGGTTCAGTAAGAGGAAGAGGCCGGAGGTAGAGGATAAACAACAACCATCCGATGAAGATCCAACAACCCAGAAAAATCAACTTTGCATCAAATTTCTTAGTCTAACATATAGCGTCACCCTTAATATTGAGACATTTAGAATATTTTTGACCATATCTATATGAAAAAAATATCAACTTATGCAATACGAAAGTTATACATTATAAAAGTTGAACTCATGATGCATCTAATGATATTGATTCCATGTTGTGATTATTTGTATTTTCTATAAAGTTGGTAAACTTTACAAAGTTTGATTTTAGACAAATTTTATATGCGAGTACAAAGGACTGATAGGAGTACTATGTTGCTTTCTACATGTCTCATGGCCTTATTAAAGATCTTCGCTTCTATGGCTTTAAGCATAAGATGTTATTTTTGTAGCACATTTCTGATAAGTTTTTTTTCTATAAGGCTATAATTTCAATCACGTTCTAAAATATAAATGGGATTTGGTGATAAGTTATCATTGTGTTTGTTCATAATCTCTGAGACACGACAACTTTCATGTCAAATGTGGTCTAGAAATGTTCTTCGATAAATATGTTTTTAGCTCTTAATATTTTGGTATGGTCGTAAATTTATCAATTCATATATCACTTTGGTAAATAATTTTTAGTTGGGAGAATCAAGAAAGAAAGAAAAGAAGAGAGCTTTAAGGGTAAAAAAAGTAGTTGTCCATGCAGCCCGTTGCAACGCACGGGCATTCTACTAGTAATAATAGATAATTACTTAAGCAATCTGGATTTCCACGGCGTGCTGTGCCGGATTATGTTTTATCTTCACGGACGATGAACCAGATCCATAGTTACCACTGCGTTAGTCCCACGTCAGTAGTTTACATGCTATTCCACCGCTTTATTAAGCTCGGCCTCGGCTATCACCAAGTGGAATAACTAGGGACATGTATGGTAATGCGGTAGAGCTATATCATAGTTCTATAGGGTTGCAAGCGTATTAGATGAGTCACCTTTTGTACTAATCAGAGGAGTAAACATATGTATTGCAAGCTGAGAACAGGGATTACAGAGTTTCAACTATAAATCATACTGTATATTTTTACTAACTAGCAAGATGCCCATGCGTTGCACGGAACATCAATATGCATTTGTATGAGTAGTTTATCTTGTGAGAGAAAAAGATGAACAGGGGAATGCCTTATTTGCAAATATGGAGAGAGGTGTGAGTATCTTTTTATAAAATTGCCATAGTTTCTTTTCTATCCGTCAGATATAAATCGAATAGACTATATTACAAAATGGTAGGAACACCATCATCACCAACTCTTTTTTTTATAAGAGTAGAGATAACTACAGAAGGTTATGGCTGAACTGACCAATGAGCATTATGATCTTTCTTGCACAGTTTACACCTGAGATGCGCGTGGATTGTCCAGGGAATAATGAACTATCTCCTGGCTCGAAGGGGCTTCAGATACGTCCAACATTATTTGAGATCCATCATCACAGTTTGGAGAATGTTTGATGCCCTAGGGAGCAGCACATAGAGGGTGCCATCGCTGTTCCTTTTGTTTCTCATCGCATCCCTTCGTTCGCAAAGTTAAAGAGGTATGACCATTTCGTCATTCACGATTAGTTAGCCTTAAACCCCACTGGCCTCAGATTTTTTGGGTGTGCAGGTGCACCTAGATCCACCCAACTGCTACTGATATCTTCCACCTAGATTAGCTTCTTCAAACCGCCAGATCGATCTACTTTTCTTTGGCACACTGCCTCAATCTGGTCCCTTGAAGCTACAAGGCTTATAAGAAAGATGCTTCTTGAGTTTTATTGTTGAAAGATAGTTGGAATACGAGAAGAGAGTAAACTATTTGGCTAGCTAGCGTACAATTTCGCGCAGATCTAGAGAAAGTTTGCATGTGCTTGCTAACAAAATGTCCATAAACATGACATAGGGGTCATGATACAGCTAATAATTGTCAAGATTTCCATAGACCATAGGTTGTAGCCAATGTGAATATGAGCATGTTTTTACGACGTGCCATAACATGTTCGTAACCATGACTAGAGGTTCATGAGATGGCTAAATTGTAGATATGTATAACCATAAAGAACCGGAAATTGCCAAGAGAAATTTTTGTGGAGAGATAAGCCCAACTGCCAATGAAGAACCGCAAACTGCATTTTTAAATGCATAAACTGTTCACAAATTGAAGTATTTTGTTCTGTTTATTGTTCGGCTTCACTATCTGTGGAGTATTTTCTCTCTATGAAAGGAAAAAAAGGAAAGGCTAGGGCCTCCTTAAATTTGCTCTGGCTTAGAGACAAAACTCTGTTTGTTTTGTTTGCATGCTACAGACCTTAATGTGGACCTTACCATGTCGACAGCTAGCTGGGTTAGAGGAGGAAGTTCTCCTATGTGTTTTTCTTTTCTTACCTAAATTTGAGATCCAAATAGTTCAGGATGCTAGCAAGAATATATGGGGAATATTTTGTCGAAACCTGCCACAATTCAATAGTTGCTGACTCCAAACTCTGTTTATGTAGCGTGTTGACGAGGCGAGCATGCATTATGCGCCTCATGATTTTGTAATTATAGTTCATGATTTTTGACTCTTGTTGATGTGAATTTTGGTTCTCATGGACGACCGTGTAAAACATGAGTCGAGTTATGTTTATTTGTCGGCTTATGTAATGTTTGTGCACCTATGCTAGCCCGGTGCACATACAGATTTGCTCAAAATTTCAGTTCCAAATACGAAACCATAGAGTATAAAGTTGTACGTGATAACTTGTTTTAAAAATTGTTTTCCAACCTGAAATGAATACCCCCTGTATTCGACCTTTGTTGTAGGGTGGGGGCTTAGTAAAATACATGTAATCTTCTTACACCTGTAAAGTTCCACTAAGCCTCCAAACCTCAAAGGAACTTTGGGTGATAAAGATACTACGTTCTTTATTATACCTTTGAGGCTTTGAGGTTTTAGCAAGTACCTTTCGGCGGATGAATCTAACAAATACTTCACCATCCATCATGCCAGCTATCTTTTTGTTTGAACTAATGATATGGATGTAAATTAAACTTATGACTGAAAAGATTAAACAAGGTTAGCAACCTGACAACAGCCCACTTATGTAATTAGTTAGTTAGCTCTGTCTAACTAGCTGTCTGCCACTGTTATTGTGTTCAAGTGTAGATAAGGACAAGATGTGATGTGGTCTAACTAGCAACCTGACAACAGCCCACTGGTTTATTTATTTAAAGACAATACTATGACAAGAACCCCAATGCTATGATAGAGTGAAACAAATAGTTAGGTAGCTTTCTTTCATTCATATACAATGGGAGCCCCTTCCTCTTCAACATTATTGAGGTGCATACTGTCCAGTCTCCAGAGCTAAACGAGCAGGAGGACATCCATCCATCCGTCCAAAAGGTATGTTGGTGAGGCAGTTCAAGTGTACTCCTGCTTAAATTTGACCTCAGTTTTACTATTGCAGCAAAATCTAGCAAGTACAATGACGATGGTGCTGGATGCATTTGCATCCTACCTGGGGGACTTGCTCAAGCAGGTGGTAGAGGAAGAGCTGGGAACAATGTTGGGAGTCTCTGGCGAGATCGACAAGTTGGGCGACAAGTTCCAGGACCTCAAGAACTTCCTCGCTGACTCTGATAGGAGGAACATCACCGACGAGACTGTCCAAGAGTGGGTGGGGCAGCTCAAGCGGGCCATGTATGAAGCTGCTGACATCCTCGACCTTTGCCAGCTCAAGGCCATGGAGCGTGGACCATCCACCGTAGATGCAGGGTGTTTTAATCCCTTGCTTTTCTGCATGCGCAATCCCTTCCATGCTCATGAGATCGGCACCCATATCAAGGCTCTCAACCAGAGGCTTGACTCCATCAAGAAGCGCAGTGCTGCTTTCAACTTTATTAATCTCAGGTCCTATGAGGATCATAGCCGTCATGATAACCTTAGCCGGGAGACGATAGGGGACTTTGACCAGTCGGCTGTAGTTGGGGACAAGATTGAAGAAGACACAAGAGCACTAGTGGCCCAGATCATGCAAACCGGAAAGGAGGTCAATGATGACATCATGGTGGTTGCCATCGTAGGTGCCGGCGGGATTGGCAAGACCACCCTCGCGCAGAAGGTTTTCAATGATGAGACCATCCAAGGTGAGTTCAGTAAAAAGTTATGGTTAAGCATCAACCAAAACTTCAGTGATGTTGAGCTGCTGAGAAGAGCCATCATCGAAGCCAGAGGAGACCACTCATCAGCTGGGAATGTAAAGGCCATGCTTCACCAAACCCTCAAGGACACCTTGATTGGCCAGAAGACTTTACTCATAATGGATGATGTCTGGGACCATGGAGCATGGGAGAATGTGCTCAAAATACCCTTTGTCAATGCTGCTGCTTCGGGAAGCAGAGTTCTTATCACCACTAGAGATGAAGGTGTAGCTCGAAAAATGGTGGCCATATGGCCCTACCACCATGTTAACACATTATTGCCTGAAGATGCTTGGTCATTGCTCAAGAGGCAGGTCCGTACTTAATTAACACTGATCTCTAAATCAAGTGAATAGTCTATCTACATCTATTTATTAACATTCCTATGTTAATTAAGGGAAATTATAGGATGCTTCCAAATTAGTTACATGTAATTCATTGGCTTAATATTACCTCTTGGAAGGTAAGAGTTATCATAATCTTACAGGACCAATGTTACTTTGATAGTGTCAACAAAGCATAGCGCTAAACAAGGAAATACATCACAACACCAATTGGGGTTTCCACATTTTATCTATACCCACATTACACACGTTCAAGACACATGTGTCGTTTTTACTACTTAAGATTTATCGGTTATATTCATGTAATTGATAAGCTTTTCTTATATTCAATCTCGTTTTCCAACTTTCGGGTGAAGATCTAAGTGTTCATCTACTCAACAATGTCATAGGACATAATATAAATGAAAAGTTGTTTTAAGATGGAAAAATTAACAATTCAGTTAACCCCTAACGGTACAAAAAAATATAACACAAAATTAACTAGAATAGAAGTTGGTATTAGTTTTGCTAGAGACATTGCACGTAAATTCAAGCCAGCAATGTTGGGGCTACTACCTGTTGAACATTTTAGGTGAGTGGGAGAAAATAATTTCACGTGACCGTAAAATATAAGAAAACCAATAAGTGATTGATTTCTGCTAAATTTTGAGTACAAGTTTTTATAGCAGCGATGAGAGAGCAGTATAAAGTGTATGTACGCATGTATGTACCTACGTACGTCTTTGTGCGTGTGTAGGAGCAAGATAAGTCAATACATTTAAAAAGAATTATTTATGACATTTATTTCTGTAATTTGAATGTTTATAAAGTTAACTTTGTGGAATCGATTGCATAAATCTTGGTATATATGAGCAAGATAAGTAAATACACTTTTTTTAAATTCTTTATGACATTTACTTTCTGTAATTTGAATATTTACATAGTCTAACCTATCTTGATAAATGGATAGATACATCAAGTAGTCCTCCCGCCTCTTATAAGAAGTAAATTTGAGTGCCTTATTCAGAGGAGCTTGGTACATAGTTAATTAACTATATTTGTCCCTTGTACCATGTTCGCAGGTACTCTCAAGTAGATAGACGAAGACCACACAAATACGCTAAAGGATATCGGACTGAAAATTATAGAAAAATGTGGTTATCTACCACTTGCCGCTAAAGTAATGGGAGGACTATTGCGTGAAAGAGGAGGGCTACGTCGTGATTGGGAGCATGTTTTGGATGATTCTAAATGGTCAGTAACTAAAATGCCCCTAGAGATCAACTATACAGTATACTTAAGCTATGAATATATGCCTTCATATTTGAAGCAGTGCTTTCTATACTACTCTCTTCTTCCTAAAAGTAAACCTTATAATATGGATCAAGTAGTAGCAATGTGGATGAGCGAAGGTTTTCTTCATGGAAACTCCAGTGATTTAGAAGAATTGGGAAGAAATTACTACAAGGAGTTGCTATCCAGGAACCTTATAGAGCCAGATAAATTGTATGTTGCTCCATGGATTTCCAGCATGCATGATATTGTTCGCTCATTTGCTCATTACATGACTAAGTATGAAGCACTTATAGCTCAAGATGGAGAAAATGATATTCTTACTAAACTTAGTTCACAAAAGTTTCTTCGGTTGACCATAGAAACCAATCAATTGCAATCAGATGAAGTTGACTGGAAATCTCTACATGAGCAACAATCGTTGAGAAAATTAATCTCAACTATCCAGATCAAGATGAAACCTGGTGATTCATTTATTATGTTTTCTAGTCTGCGGACTCTACATATAGAATTTGCTAATGTGGTTTCATTGGTTGAATCGTTGCATCAACTCAAGCACCTGAGGTATTTGAAGCTAGTAAATACCAATATATCTGTACTTCTAGGGGACATTGGCAAGATGAAACTATTGCAATTCCTTGACCTTCATGGATGTGAAAATTTGGTGAATCTTCCTGGTAGCATTGTGAAACTTGGCCAGCTGAGGTTACTTGAGCTTCCCAGTTTAAGTGTGATACCTAGAGGGTTCCGTACCCTAACAAATATGAGGAAACTAAATTGGTTTCGAGCCCACATGGATGGTGAATGGTGCAGTTTGGATGAGTTAGAGTCTCTTTCCCAACTCAGGTTCCTTACTTTATATGAATTGGAGAACGTATCTGCTGCCCCATGTGCTGCTAATGCTAGGCTTGGTGATAAAAAGCATCTTATCAGATTGTCTTTATTCTGCACCAGCAGACTGGAAAATGATGGGTTGATAAAAGAGAAAGAAGGTGTCCCTGAGGAAGAGCAGCGGCGAATCAAGAAGGTGTTCAATGAGCTCTCCCCTCCACACAGTATAGATAATATTATAATTGGTGGTTATTTTGGCAAGCAACTCCCAACTTGGATGATGTCTGCGTCCATGGTGCCCCTCAATAACTTGACATATATTATGTTTGTTGACTTGGCTTGCTGCACACAACTTCCCGATGGGTTGTGTCAGCTCCCGAACCTGCAGTTCTTTAAGGTAGACCGTGCTCCATGCATCAGGCGTGTTGAGGCTGAATTCTTGCAGGCGGCGGCAACTCCATTTCCAAGGTTAAATGAGATGTACTTACTAGGAATGGTGCAATGGGAAGAGTGGGAGTGGGAGGAGCAAGTACAAGCCATGCCTAGGTTGGAGAAGCTTATGCTCAGGAAATGCAAACTGAGGCATATTCCTACAGGCGTTGCCACCAATGCAAGGGCTTTGAAGGAATTATTCCTACAAGACATTCAACACCTCAACTACCTTGAGAGCTTTTCTTCTGTTGTTGAGCTTACAATGCTTCGAATCCCCGACATGGAGAGGATCACTAATCTCCCCAATCTGCAGAAGCTCACGATCACCGATTGCCCAAAGCTGAAGGTGCTAGAAAGTATCCCCGCACTTGAGAGGCTGATCCTGCAGGATTATGTCATGGAAGAACTCCCCAAATACATGCGGGATATAAAATCCAAGGCATTTGCAGCTATTTTGCAGGATATGGCTGCTATCTTCGTTAGCCACGGGACAATCTGGTCCTGAGTGGGATAAGTTCAGCCATGTGGAGCATGTCAAGGCATATGCATGTGATGAAAACAACCCAAGAAAATGGTACGTTCTATACACAAGAGACAACGGCAAAGCTGGAATCCAATATTAGCAACTCTACCATACTTCAAGGTACAGAAAGTCAAGCATAAAAGCTTTGTCTTAATTTGTTTGAACACTCTGATTCTGCCAGTTTATAAGGTCGTTTGATTTAATCTCCTGCCTTTTGTCCATATATGTTGCATGATGACCGGATATATTTTACCTTTGTTTGTTTAGGTGCTACAATGGCTGCAGAGGACGAACGACAAGCAGCAGCAGCAGTTGCATCTGGTCCAGGAGATGAAAACAAGGAACAAGAAGCACACCGACCGCAAACAGCAGATATAGGAAAGGGGAAAGTGCATGATAGCTAGCCAAGGAGATCAGACCAGACCGCCCTCTCCAGTGAATTAATCTGGTATTCTTTTTTGTCTGCTATTAGTAACTGTGCTTCAAGCTGCAGTTCCGTTCTTAGTTGCCATATTAGCAGATCGATACAAGCAGAACATTGCCTATTGAAGCTGGCTCTTGCACATTTCCCTTTCTGTGCAGGCAATACCTGGCTGGCAATGGAGCCAGAGTCTGCTCCATTGTAACTTTGTATGCATGTTATACTACTTGCCATGTTGCCCTGAAAAGGATTAAATCTTGACAATCAAAAGGAGATTCTTTCAAAGCATGACTTCCAGCGAATTTTCCACATGCCTCTTTGAAGATTCCCAGAAATTATGTGAACGTTTGACTGATCCATCCGGTATTCTTTGGACGAACGAACACAACTACATGAGACATAATCATGAGAGGATAATAACAGTGCCCGCATGATCACGTATGGGACAACAATTTTAATAGACAGAAATGGGAGAAGAATTTTTCACATGCATCGGGAATACGGTAGAAGCAGTATTAGTTGCTTCAAAACAGAATAATACACTGACTAACTGGACTGGAGAGCAATGAAAAATACGACTAATTAAGAGGCATCACTTACCAGTTACCACAGCATCGTTACCTATATTCCATATCTATCTGAATACTGCATCCTCCTATACTCCTATGCTTAAACTTACTGAGCAAGTGCACTTAACGTATCAAGTTGCTTTCATCCTTTACATCGTGGACAGTTCAGTTCTTGCATATGTTCCTTCTTTAGCAGTTCAACTTGAAGGAACTATTCTCATATTGTGTCAATCATTGGTCGATCATCGAGTACATGCCTTATTTCGCTACGGGTCAATTTCCTGTTTCTTCTGTGAGAAAAGGAAGAACGGATGCCCGCCTCGCAAACCCGATGGTGAGTTGCTTTGATGCTCTTGTTTGAATTAATTATTATCACGGATTGGCTACCGGTTACAGGCACTCTTTGCTGCCTGTCTTGATCCTAATTATGCTTCATTTACAATTGTGATGTTCTTCTTTGCAAAAGCAATATAGAGTACGTTCTTTTACAGTCCATGACATGTTAATTAACTACCTCAAAAACATCTTTAAGGGTACTGTAACTCTCTTTTGGTTCCCTGTACAGGAGCATTTTACAGTCAAGTTGCTTTCCACCACCTTCTGCTCTCCGCTTCTCCTGCAAGCTTGCACCATCTTCGCAACTGATATTTGCATCCAGGTCTGTCGTATCATTTTGCGCGTGCAAGCATGTGTTTGTGTTCCATGCATCTTTAGGGGTTCAACTTGAAGGAAAAATTCCCACAGTGGTGTCGGTCACCGTTTTGATCTTCTGCAAGCGGGTCCCGTCGTGGTTTCACTATCAATCCATTTCCCGTTTTTTGCAAGAAAAGAAGGAATAGATGCGCGTTGCAACTAATAAGTTGCTTTGATTCCTTCATTGAATTATTACGAGCAATGATCGAGCTCTCTTCCTCACCTATATATCATTGTCCTAAATTAGGCTCCACCTGCAAAAAAAATCTTCTATTTAGAATTATCAGTAGCAAAAACATTACTCTAACAGGAGTAATGCCACCCTTACGGAATGAGAGGTACAGAGTGACGTGGCATCATCTGATTGAAAAGCACGTACGGCCCCCACCCAGTGAAATTCAGGGACGAATTGGGAGAGGACACGTGCATATTTCTGTAGGCTTCAGTTCTTGTACGATCACCAAGCTAATTCTCAGTCATTTTGAGACCCGAGGTAGCACGTGTACATCACAGTAAGTCATGGTAGGATTTCAAGGTTGATTGGTTTGCTACCAACACTTGACAAGCCAAAATTTGGTTAAATCAAAAGTTACCAACATTTGGCAACCTTTTGTGAGATTTGCAACGAAAATTGTTACAGTTTTGCTAGAACTCATCTAGATGAGATTTAATTTGGTCTCATTCATCTTTTATAGCCATTGGATGTGATGCTATAAGATGCGTGTGTGCTGACGTGAGTTGTATCCATTCTTGTTTTTTAGGTGAATGAGACCAAATTACGTCTCATCTAGATGAGTTCTAGGTACTCCCAAATTGTTATGTAACCAATCTCTAGGCAATATTTGGCATCAAACCAGTTAGCCTCTTCTTTACATCATTGCCAGTACACTCGCTCGCACCAAGATTCTGTACTGACTTCTTTCAAAAAAATAAATTATACTGGTGCTATATAGTGGAGCACGAGCTTACTGGACAGGGTCAGGAGCAGACCACTGTCGTCCTACTGTCTTCACTTGTGTCATCTCTTGCTCTCTTCTTCTTTTCTTCTCTCCGGCCCAATCGTCTCAGCGGCTCGGCGGCCAGCTTAGACCCTCGTCAACCCTAGATAGCTGGAGCATCTACCAGCATGTCCAACTGCATGGACGTCTCGGCCACGCCGTCCCCGGAGCCGCCCCCGCCGACGGCGGCGCTGGACTACGACGCGGCGGTGATCCTGGCGGCGATGCTGTGCGCGCTGGTGTGCGCGCTGGGGCTCAACTCCGTGCTCCAGCAGTGCGTGGCGCGGTGCGCCCGCCGCGCCGTGGCCGACCCCGCCGGATGGGTGGCGCACCGCCGCGCCAACGCCGGGCTCAAGCGCGAGGCCCTCGTCGCGCTGCCCGTCGCCACCTACGCCGGCGAGAAGAAGCAGCAGCAGCAGCACGCGTCCGCCAGCGGCGCCGGGTGCGCCATCTGCCTGTCGGACTTCGCCGACGGGGAGACCATCCGGGTGCTCCCCGTGTGCGGCCATCGGCTCCATGTGCTCTGCGTCGACAGGTGGCTCACCTCGCGCTGCTCGTGCCCCACGTGCCGGCGCCGCCTCTCCCCTGACCGCGCCGACGCCGGAGAAGGGCAGCACCGCCGCGAACTGCAAGTTTTGAACGCCGTGTGATGATATGATCCATCAATTCGCCTCTTTTTGCGTTGCTTTGGAGTTTAGATCACTGTCCCGGCGTGCTGCTTTGTATGTCAGGTTCCGGCCATGATGATGACCTGTTTGATGGTTTGCTTTGCCAGCCATCTTGAGAGCTTTTTCATTTTTGGCAATAAACGATCATCATGAGTTTTTTCAACATTACTGTGTATTCTTTGACAAGTCATCGATTTTAATTTCACATTTGCTATTCATCTCTTGCGTGAAATTTCGATCCGCACCGTTCGACTTTGGGCGAAGCACTGAGGCAGAGATGGGGACGCCGCAACGAGCGTGAGCGATGCACGGGGATGCCAGCCTAGGCCGAGTCAGGAGCGACTAGGGGCCAGGGACGACACGACACCGTCGTCATCGATGGAGGGGAGTGAGAGGTTGACGGGGTTTGGGTGCAGGGGAGGTCGCCGGTGACGGAGATTGTGTCGGGGTTTAGAGGGACTATTGGGGAGGCGGCAATACGACAGGAAGGGTGGGACGACGAGGCGTGCGCAGCAGCAGCACTGCACGTTGG